TGTGCATCTTTAAACATCCTTGTTAGCAGTAATTGGGTTCAGCAACGAAACTTGGACGCAATGGTAGAAAAATCAAAATTTAAAAGGATTGTTATTATAAACAAGCAAATCTTGAAAAAGAAATTACTTCACATGACAATTGTACTACCTCCTCCGCAGGCGCTTAGGGAGCATTTCGGGCAGGTTCGGAAAATGCGGGTTGCAGGCGAGAGCGCCTGCCGAGTAATGTTTTCAAGATGGCGTATGCTATAAATCGAAATTTTCATTTTGACTTTACTATTATGACTTAATATACAATATACATACCAGCACTGATCTAATAGATCTAAATAATATTTTGAAATAGCATCCAGTGGTCTTGGCAGACTAAAAAGTACTTATAACTAGCCGCCGCTTTTCTATGACAATGGAGACTGTCTAATATAAAGTGTTTATACAAATTATGCCAATGCAAATACAACATCAACGATATTTATATATCCGCTTTCTACATATTTTGCGACTAAGCCTATGATAAGCCATTCCAAATACTTTAGATAAGATTCAAATATCAGTCTGCATGAAACATTAAAAGCACAATTTGAAAGATAAATATGGTGAAATTATATTTGCATATTAAAAATATACATTTACAATGTAAATAGAAGTAATATAGCGTCTCATTGTTCGCTTGTTCTTTGTCTTTTGAGTATTATTAAATAACACAATGTCTGCATGTAGAATCTCCATTACCACAAAAATCTACATACCAAGTCCATTTCAGAAAACGATATATTGAGAGTATCCACATCGCTGCCGTCGAACGATGAGCACAACATATTAATTGTCAACATATGGCGTTATTCAAGCGTGTCCTGTTCATAGCGATCGATATCATTATATCAGTGTTACGACTGCTTGTTATGAATTGCATTATAAAACGCGTCAATGATCTACATGATATTTAATCAGGTAAAATACATACATATTTCCATTTCACAGAATGACATATTATTAAGAACGTCAACATCGTCGAAATCCTCGATTTTCCCCTTTGTTCGTCGCTGCTTTCGGCCATGACTGCCCTGAAGTATCACAAATACTCTACCATACACGGGACAATAGTTTTGGGATAGGATGGTTCATATTTCACGAAGATTTTTAAGGATTGAAAACCGATACCCAGGAAACGTCACTTCTGCCCAGGAACCGACTATTATTCAGCAGGCCTTTCGTCGCCTTCCGTTCTTCCCTGATCTCAAATTTCACGCCCGCAAATTATTCCCGCCCGCATCGAAAGGCCTGCGGAGGAGGTAGACAATTGTATGATGAGGGATGCCCAGCACAATTTTAATTGTCTAAATATAGAGTATAGTGTATATCTTAACAGTTGGTAGTTCATATTTGATAACTTTTACTTTATAGCCATTTTCCCGAAATGTGGTATTTTTCGTCTTTGAGAAAAGATAAATATTTACCAATTTGACCAAACTGGCTGAAATTTTCAGTGTTGATACTTGATAGAGCTCATCATGATAAGTGTTTTCAACGATAGAATTTGGCATATCTTGTATTGCTGCCATTTTATCGAGGAAATATGCCAGGATTTTTGGAAGAAAATCTAACCAAAATTTTGCAGCAATGCTGTGCAAAAACTACATGCAGCATAAAAAATTCCATCGCTCAAAACAATCTACTTGCTTTGTAGTCAACAAATAGCTCTTAGTGGTAAAATTTGATTAAAATGGTAAGGCTGTATTTTTTCCCAACTAACAGTGACTTGTATGAGACATACACTGTGTTTAAAAACTAGATGGCAGGATACATATTACAGGTATTAGAACGACCTTAGTATTTTTAGAATCTATGTTAAATAAGCTTTCTAATGATATATAGTTTTGTACAGCTATCTAACAAACTTGGCGAGTAATAGGCTTGCAAATGTGGTCAACCGGTATATTGCAAGTTTAGGTAGACCCCCACCTTAATGTAATAACATGCGGGAGAACGAGCATGGCGACAAGATCGTGCTTTTCGGAATTCCTTCAAATTTTTTTCTCAGTTTTCCCCGACGCACCTACTAATTTTCCCCGATGGGGGGGGGCTAGGACTCCCCGACAAGGTGGCTGTAGCCCCCCCCCCCTACAATAAGGAGCAAAAATAATGAGATTTTTCACGTTTTTGGCCATTTTCAAGTACGTCGGCCTCCCCCTTCCCCCCATGATCAATGTTGGAAAAAGCAGGTTGCATTTTCTCTTTTCAGTCATCCACACAACATTGAATTGGGGGTGAGGGGGGCATTTATGCGTTTGTCGGGTCGTTTGTTTTTTGCTCCTGATTGTAGCCCCTAATTGGCGCCACCACTGTTTCCACCTGTTGTGGAGTAGTGCGGGGTGGTCATCTCACTGATCTCAAGAATATGGTGGACAACCAGGGGTGTATATGTAATTATTTTGAAATTATATGAGAAAGCTAATATTTTGAAATTATATATATCCGCGGAAAGGCAAGATTTTGAAAAGATGTGGGAAGTCGTTTCATAGATGTGAAGCGATTTATTTTTAATTTCACTTCAAGCAATTAGCTTGTTTTGATAATTGTCTAAGTATTTGTTGTATTATTTGATTTCGTTTCAACTCTCAACTGAGTGAACGAACTGAGATCGACTAAATGAAATCGATAATCGGCAAAAACAGACACAAACATGTAATTAAAAAGAGAGTGATAAAGCAGGAGGCGGGCAAGTTCGGAACTCACGTTTCAATATTAACTTAATGAAAAATAGCCAATTCATGTTCACATGTAAAAAATTAACCGTTTCTCAAAAATTATAAACAATAAATTTTAACGCCTTTCTTAACCCATTAGCGTTTTCGGAAAATAAGGGACCGGTCATAAAGTATCTACAACCCCGGGGTGGAGGGTCGCCCTTGATTTTTTAAAAAAGTTTAATTTAACAACCCTCACAAACGTAAGGGAAAAATTTCGAGCCCCATTCAAATATTACTAAAATATTTCGTACCCCATATAATGTCCTAAACAAGTCCGTAACTAAACGCGATAATCGGGGGGGAGGGGAGGGGGAGGAGGTGGTAAATATTCATATATTCGTGTTCTGCCTGACGGATTTCTTTTCCCTCAATTTAAAACCTGAATTTAAAACCTGAATTTATCGCGTCTAGTTACGGCCCTGGTACTATAATTTTAAATATCGAAATATGTATAAAGACAACAATCAGGTGCCCATATTTCCTGGCCTAAGCCAGGCCAAAGTGCGTTTAAACACAACAAAAATCTAATCCAAAGCTAGACCCAGGTCAGGCTTAAGGCGGATTTCCAGTTCTCGCACGAGGCTCCTTGCAGCTCGCAGCGAGTGCAAGCATGGGCACTTTCATCCAATATCACAATGCTGAACAGTTAATTTTAATTAGATGCAAGCACTCGCAGCGAGCTACGAGGAGCTTCGTGCGAGGACTTGAAATCCGCCTTTAGGCTCGTATTGCATGTAACACGGCTATAGCTACTGTACTTATACAGTACTTCGCAGCATGTTCTTTTACTATATAAATCCATGCATGTTTCACATAAAATTCAAAGCCCGCATGTTGGTACGTGGTAAGTCGTCCACTCCTTGTTCAGAATACTCTGACTGATTCCGTGTTTCCGAACGTAAACTATTTTTGCTGTTGAAAACTCATTTCCATATAAACTACATTACTGCAAGCTCAACATTGAACTACTTTTAGACATATCTAGTGCATGATATATTTAGTGAAAATACAATAGAGTATACAGGGTGACCCAAAAAAACAAAACTATTGAAATAACGTATTGTTAGAATTTGAATGCCGGCCTCAGCACTCCGCTGAACTCATGCACAAATGCATAAAAGCTTGACATAGGCAAATTTTATGCATAAATAAACTGTTTAAGAAACTTCTTTAAATTCCCAAGAGCAGAAATCATCTGAAATCATCAAAAATCAGCGGAGAAAATCGTGCGCTTTACAAAGATATTTTAATTTCTTAACAAGTTAATATTTATAACATATACCCTGCCAATATTTGACGCATCTTTGCGTCCAGTTTAGTGCTAGCGCATGCAAATTCTAACAATACGTTATTTCAGTAGTTTTGGTGTTTTGGACCGGGACTACTACCCATAGATATCTTATATACACTAGATAGTGCATCTCTTTTAGTAAAATTGAAGCCAAGAATATTCCAGCGGTTACCCCGATTTGAATAGATGGCGGCCATGTTGGTCGTTCCCACTTGCTGATAGGCGCTTAAAAACAACAATAACTTTCATCATTTGAATAGTTTAAAAACGTATTTGGAATAGGGTTAACTTAATGTTTAAGTTCCCTGTTTAAGAAATAGAAAACATACGAATCTTTTCATTTCATGGGAACGACCTGAGACTGCAATCACGGCTTCAATTTTTGAATTGCAGTATAATTAGATGCACTATCTAGTGTATATAAGATATCTATGCTACTACCCTGTGTGTCGTGAAATTCAAGAAAATCAGTCATGCATGTAGGAAAATTGATCTGCTTCCTGAGAAAATACACAAACATATATACCTCATATACATGATATTTGCTGCGTTGGTGCAATGTACTCAGGTGACTAAGATGCATGTGGTGTTGCTCTGAGTGTATATCCACGCCGGGCAGGATTGAAAATTCGGCCTGGTCACGGTGGGAATCGAACCTACGACCTTTGGAACGCTAGCCCAATGCTCTACCAACTGAGCTACGCGGTCAGGTCGAGTATGTAATATTTCGGAACTGAGTCTAGTTCCTGGGTTAGTTCCAAAGGTTGTAGGTTCGATTCCCGCCCTGGCCAGGCATAATTTGCAAACCTGCCCGGTGTGGATATACACTCAGAGTAGCATCTGAAGTATCTTATTCGGCACCTGAGTACATTACACCAACACAGCAAATATCATGATAATTTGATTACAATGATATCGAAGGAACTAGACTCAGTTCCGAAATATTACATGCTCGACCTGACCGCGTAGCTCAGTTGGCAGAGCATTCGGCTAGTTAGCTAGTATTCCAAAGGATGTAGGTTCGATTCCTATCGTGCCCAGGCATAATTTTCAATCTTGCCCGGTGTGGATATACACTCAGAGTAACATCACAAGCATAACTCATATACGTCCTTACTGAATGACTTCGTTCTACTGAACCGTCCCGCTCATGTAAATTTTCGCTTCCCGGAGAAAATACCGGCGCAAGCATACCTCATATACAGCTATTCAATTAAGGTTGTCTACGAGCAAAGCGGAAAAGTCGAATACGAGCGCGAAAGGCTGCTGGGAACCGCTTTGAAAATTCATTAATTTGTTAGCGATTCCCAGCAGCCTTTCGCGCTCGTATTCGACTTTTCCGCTTTGCTCGTGGACAACCTCAATTGAAATAGCTGTATATACAAAGAATCGAAATAATTAAATTTGATTCCTCTAATAGACTCAGATCAGTCAGATGCGATGACTGATAGATTATGCAGTCATATATATTATCGACCACATTATGACAATACAATCTCGTTCTGCCTCAGCTAGACGAATAATTCAGTTATGCTTGAAGCCTCATATGGATCGCAATTTAAAAATCTTGGCAATATAAAAATGTTGATATTGGATTTAGAAGAACAATACGTCTAGAAATCAGTCTGAATAACAATGATAATGAAACGGGCATGAACTCAACATGACTGAATAAAATTAGCGACAAAAAATAATATTAAACAAAAGTACATGACAGCGGCACTGGTTATTTTCGAAGCTATACCGAATACACAATTAAAGCAGTGACAAAGGACTGTTTACTTGTATAATATACCACTTTTGGAACTCACTTCCTCTTATATCACATTATATATTGTTGAATATATATTCTTGAATCTCAGTGGAGACTCCTGAAAGTTCGATACAAGGAAGTGAAGTCATGATTTTAGAAGAATTAGTTGGAACTCTGGTCTCGCTTGGTTCTCTATTGATCACACAAGTACCAAACATATCTCGCGAAAATCTACTACGATATCACTGGCTTATATTCGAGGGATGTCCCGAAGACGATGAGCTACAACAAGGACTGATACACCGCGAGTATGAAACCGATGAACAAACAGATTTACCATATTACGAAGAGTTAAATGTATCTGTTTCGACCAACGGCGAAAATCGGTCGAATCGTGGTGTTTGCGAATCATTGCGTAGAAGCTTTCAAGTAAATTTTGCCTTACTGCTTGCCGTAGTTTTTCTGGGACTGGTCACAATTACTTTAGTTTATGTTGATTTGAATACAACTAATTCCTGTATCGCATGGCGACATTATAATCACAGTGTACCTTCAACCACGAAAGTGCTACAAATTATCGGCACGTCACTTACTGCTCTACCGCTCTATCTATGGTTTCCAGTAAGTGCTGCGATGTTGTGGGGCTTTAAGGAGCTGAGAAAGAATTATATGTCCTGTTTCTTTGCGTCTTGTTTCACAGCAACTATCACGATGATATATAGAGCTGTTTTATTTGATCAGTACTCAACGACGACTTTTAAATACAGGTATGACAATCCTTCAGTTGAAATTTGTACTCTCCCAGAGCCATAGACACCCGGGGAGGAGGCTGGAGGAGGCTTAATAATTGAGAGGGGAAAATGACCTAATAATTGCCCCCTAACTAATCAGCCCCACAATACAAAATTCCTACCTATGGTATATATATAGTGTCTCCTTGCCAGCAGTAGCTGGATTGTAACCGCTCTTAATAGTTGATTGTTTCTCAGCCCATTGCACATGAGATATTAGGGCCATTTATACGGGACAAAATAAGTCGCGACTTACATAAGACGCGACTTAAATAAGACTCGAGTTTGTCGTATAAAAGGTACAAAGTTCTTATGTAAGTCGCGTCTTGGATAAGACGCGACTTAATTAAGAACAGGATTTTTAGCTGTTCTTATTTAAGTCGCGTCTTAAATAAGACATTTTGTATAAAAAGTCGAACTGCACATGCCCGAAACTTGAAACAACGTAAAATTGTTAGCCTTGCATATTAAAACAAAAACAATCAAGACAACATTATAGCTATAGCAAGTAAATAAGACTAGAGCCGTAGAGAACCATTTATGCGATAAATCCGCTTATATAAGACGCGTCTTATGTAAGTCGCGACTTATTTTGTCCCGTATAAATGGCCCTAATGAGACTGCGGACAATTTCATGTCGTCAATTGATCGGCGCATTCAAATGACGTGTTCCGCGCTTACACAGAGGGCAGAAAAGTACGATCATGTTTTATAAATACCTTGTCATCAACCAATATTGCATATTTATATCACAACAATTCGCAGTCAAAGTCATAAAAGGATCAAAATTAGCTGATTTTTATATTTTCGATAATATCATGCCTTCTACTTCATGTAATTCAAACATCATTGCATTGCAACGACAATTTACGAACATCTTACGAAATGATGCCGAGGGTGTAGCCCGTACATAACTAGGGACCTTAAGCATGTGCGACGGCAACGCGACGACGACAGCCAAAACAAACTTCTTCAAATAAATTATTGCGAGGAAGAGTAGTTGTGTATTCACTGTATGCATGTATATATGAATTGAGTTCAGTTTCAAGAGATTAAAACAGAGGTTAAAAACGCTTCAGCTGAGCAAATTTGTAGTTTCACTTGTCCCGTCTTGACATGTTTGCGTTGTACACAAGACGTGAAAATCTCTGGTTTGCCGTTGTAAACACAACGTCTCTAAGTCCCGTGGGGCTTTTAATTATTCATTTCTTTTGTACGAGATCAGGAATATCATTGTGTGAATAGTCGTCGTCATCGCGTTGCCGTCCTGTTTGCTTAAAGTCCCTAATAAGAAAGGGATGAAACGCCGAAAATCTTTCGTTCGATGTGCACCGCAACAACTGGTGACAGAAGTTAACTCGACATTGTAACCGGAAGTAGATCGGAGTTGAAGGAAAATCGACCTTTCATCTTCCATGACCTTTTAATCGAATTAACGGTTTTAATAATAATTTGAACAATACCAAATTTTAAAAATTATTGCGACTGATTCAAACTCAAATATGGAACGTTTTGTCACCAAAAGAAATGGGAATCACCCGTTTCAAAAGCAACACACGCTCTTGTAATATCTAGATGGTATAAATCTTTTCAATAATTTTAAAACAATTGTTCTTGAATCGATCAACCGTGAATGACGTGAATATATCCACGACTTTGAACTTTGTCTATGACTGCATGTAATCCAAACGGCAGCCTTTACAAAACCGGTCACGATTTAAGCTCATCTTCGGCGTGTGTGCAGACTTAAGATATATCAATAGACTATTTAAATTCAAAAATAAACTATACAGTCATGTACTTATGGGTCGAATAAAATGGCTGGCAGTAAATTTAAATAAACTCTGAAACGGTTTCGTTAATTCGGTTAATATAGACCTTTTTGTAGTATAAACACCGGTGCATTTTGGCTTGTATTTTGTAGGCTGTGTATGAATTATCAAATAAGTGACAATTCTTTCAATAAGTGACAATTTATATGAGCATATTGTTATTTTGAAACTGTATACTAATCATAAAAATACTGTATGAGTCTGTAATATATTATATATGATTAACAATATGAATCAGTTGGAAAAATAGTTTTCGTCATGCGCAATATCTTTTAAGTGCGTAACTACGTCACTTCCGTCACCATCTGTTGCTGTGCACGTTGAAACAAAATAAGCCAAAAATGTAGTCCCAAAAATTTCGGTTTAATAATCGTTTCTTAAGATTCCCTTGTACAGGTATGCTAAGTGTACCATATCTAAACTGTACACAAAAATAAAAGGTTTTGGTTCAGAAACACGCCAGTTATATCCATTCGAAATATTTCACGATCGGCGGTTTCATCCCTTTCTATTATTTGTACGTGTAAGTATAAGTATAAGAAAATACAATGAGCTTAATCACCGTGACCGTGAACAAATTAACTGTAAACACAATACAATGTTCTGTTCAGTTTCCAGACCATCATATCTTGATACACTATGATGCGTCGAGATAAATTCCAGTTAAATCATCACATGTAGCTAATTGGAATTTTGAAATATATATGCATGTTAAAAATATTAAACTGTTCAATCGTTAGTTGTGTTTCCATTGCAGCCACAACAGAACTGTCTTTAATTTAAATAATTTTAATTAAAACTGTTATGTCATACATGATTTGGAGGTGAACCGCAATTGATATCTAATGGAAAATCGATGTGGAGATAACCGAACTGTGCTTTTGCACCACCCATTCTTGACGTCATCAAAACTGCCTCGTTCGCTGGTAAAGGCCGGCGCACACTAGAGCTACGTGCTTAGCAAAATGTCATTCGTGACTGTTGGCGTACGGAGATAGCTCTCGTGTGCGGGCGATTTACGAACGACTTTTGTCATTCGTGCCACTTACGCCAAATATCTAACATGTTTGATAATTTCTGCCTCGCGTGCCAAAATCTTTCCGTGTGCGGCGAACGAAAGCTATCTGCTTACGGATTGTCGTAACAGCGCATGCTTAGTATACGAAAGTAAACATCCAAGATGGCGGCGCAAAATGAATTGCTGGCCGAGGCAATTTTAGAGGACAAACTTACTGGCTATTTCTTTCACCGCACATTCCCTTTTGTCCCTATTTCTAAAATCTGCAGAACTCACATCGTATAAACATTTGTATTCAGGCCAAAGTTCGACAAGTTTGTCCTCTAAAATTGCCTCGGCCAGCAATTCATTTTGCGCCGCCATCTTGGATGTTTACTTTCGTATACTACGCATGCGCTGTTACGGCAATCCGTAAGCAGATAGCTTTCGTTCGCCGCACACGGAAAGATTTTGGCACGCGAGGCAGAAATTATCAAACATGTTAGATATTTGGCGTAAGTGGCACGAATGACAAAAGTCGTTCGTAAATCGCCCGCACACGAGAGCTATCTCCTTACGCCAACAGTCACGAATGACATTTTGCTAAGCACATAGCTCTAGTGTGCGCCGGCCTTTAGTAACGACCAGAAGGCTTTTTTTAAAAAAATTTAATAAATTGTAACAACGTTTCGGAGTTTACTCCATCATCAGGTTACATTTATACGCACGTATATATACGTGCGTATAAATGTAACCTGATGATGGAGTAAACTCCGAAACGTTGTTACAATTTATTAAATTTTTTTAAAAAAAGCCTTCTGGTCGTTACTAAAAAGAAAATTATTACATTTAAATGAGGCTTAGAGAAAGTTCGCTTCTAATCACATTGAACAATCTTTATTACCTAGTGATGGCGTTTGATGGCGTCGTGATTACACTTGCTGGCTCGCGCCTGCGCATAAAAAATCTCGGACATAATTTTGGCTAAGTGAGGCTTCTGGTCTATTTTCTATTCTGTGTTTCCGTTACGTGAAGAGACTGGGCATGACAACAGTGGGCATGCCTGGGCCAGTGAACTCTATATATATATATATATATATATATATATATATATATATATATATATATATATATATATATATATATATATATATATATATATATATATATATATATATATATATATATATATATTATTATTATATTATTATATATATATATATATATTATTATATTATATATATATATATTATTATATATATATATTATTATATATATATATTATTATATTATATATTATATTATATTATATTATATTATATATATATTATATATATATTATACATATATTATATATATATATATTATATATATTATATATATAATATATATATA